GGGAAATTTTTGGATATTTTGAAAAGTCAACATTGGTTCAAATGACCTAAAATTGCAAATGGGCCCATTTTTCTTCCACAATTCATCATTCCAAGCATGTGCACGACCACTTGGCCCAAAGGGAAGTATTTCTTCATTTTTTATTTATTTATTTGAATTTTTATTTATAATAATTCATTTAAATCAATTAAATATATGAAAAATATTTAACTTAACCTAACAAATCTTTTTGCACATGTAATCTACTCGATAATTCGTGCATAATTCAATATGGAAAGATTTGGATTGAATTGATCTTAATTTGTACAAAAACATATGGAAAAGATTGAAAAAAGATCCTTGAAAATCAATTTTCAAAAACTATGAATGCAAGAGATTTGGATGATTCTTTTTAACCTAATTCATTACTACATATGCAAGGATCACAACCCTAGGGCCATTACACACGCAGCTGCTGAGAAACCAGGAAAACAAAACTTGAAATTTTGGTTAAGAAACTCAATTCTGAAAATAAGGTTAGAGGGCGATTCAAGGAACGATTTTTGTTTCATTGGCTTGCTGAAGGTCCACTGAACGTTTTCCAATCACAAACACTCATCAAAACGCCCAGAATTGGTACCATGGATTCAAACTTTTTCATGAAAAATACATAATCGTGTTTCATGTTTTAGGCATTTTCATTGTGTTTTCTTGATGCATTCACACTAATTAACTTGTTCTGAAACTAACCATATGCCTGGATTGGATTATTACATGCTATATGTGATTTCACCATTATTGAATTTTAGGGTTTACAGGACCTTAGATTGGGGTTTTTCACATGAGAAAAAATTGGCGTTCAAGACCACCACCATTCAAATCAGCGCGTCTGGACGATCTCAAACCTACCCTCGCGCCTAATTTATAGAGCCCCTGGGGCTAATCGCTATTTTTTAATAGCTGGCCTAAGAGAACGCCATGAAAAACGTTGCCTAATGTTTTTGTATTTCAGGGATGAAGAAGAAGACGATATCGTGGCGTTAGACGATTGGCCAGTTTAAAAACTCGCGCGCAAAGTTCACTAATGCATTGGTTTTCTTTTATAATATTTGTTATTCATTATATATTAACAACGCGTGGAATGGCTCAGTGGCGAGCGTAGCTATTGATAATGTTAATGACCTGGGTTCGATCCCAGGTCTTCACTCTTTCCATTTGATTTTTTTCAACTGACGTTCATATGTAGCGCCTATGCTGGAGACCACCATGCACCTTTCAGATCCAACGTCCACGCGTCCAGCTTCATCAAATCAAAGGCCATGGATTGAGGAACACCATAAACCCTGGTCCACGCTTCAGCATGCTACCTGGCAAAAGTCCAAAAAGGCCAAGATTAATGGGCCAGATTACTAAACTTGAACCTCCATATTGGGGACTGACACCCCCTAGGTTTGCCATAATATTTTTTTATTTTATTTTCTATTTGCTTTTAATTACTATTTGTTAATTTAATTAATTATTTTCACAAAATATAAAAAACCCATAAAAATCAGAAAAAGGAAAAAAACAATAAATAATTTTTATTTTAGTATTTTCTTAAATAAATTTGCATGTAATTGAATTTAGTTTTAAATTAGGTTTGTAATTTTAATTCTTTTAATAAAAAAATCTAAAAAATGTAGAAATAGGGTAATTAATAATTTTTCATCCTCTTTATTTTTCTTTCAAATATTTAATATTATTTATTTTATTTATTTTATAATTAAATTTGTATATAAAAATTAGGGTTAATTTAGGTTAAAATTCAACGTTTTCTTAATAAATTAAAAATAAAATAGAATTAGGGTTAGCATTTAGTTTCAATTAATTTCTTTTTCTATTAAATCCTAAAACACTAAAAAATACCAAAAAAACAAGTTCTTTCTTTCTTTTAATTTTAATTAATTCCTCATTATTTTAACTTTGCAAAAAGGGTCCAACGCCCTCGTTTCGATTTAGTTATTAATTCGCATATTATTTTAATCCGTTTAAATATTTATGTATCTCTCCCAAAGCCGTGTAAATAATTGCTCGCACTTTTAATTTCTTTATCTTTTCCGTCAAATCGGGTCCTGGTTTAATTTCGGCGATGTGGACCCGCGCCGTTTGTAATAGCTTAGAATTTACTTTCCCGCAATATTTTTAACTGTTAACAAATGGCATGAAAGAATGTATGGACAAAAATAAAAACAAGCGTAGAACACCAATAACATGACAAGATAAATGCAAATGAAAACGACACACAAATCGCACACACCACCCCTAGGGTACGCCTCACTGTTGCCTTGCCTCGAAAGGTGATCGTCGAGTAGAGGATGTCTTAGTAAGTCCTCATGATCCGGGAACCTGGCATGAGGGTAGCTTCTAAGGTGTCTTCCCATTGCTCTGGTGATCACCATGTCCCGAACCTCGAATTGACCCGAACACCTCTCAATGGTGGGATGGCACTACTTTAAAGGGCATTTACACAGACGAATTCCCTAGGGTAGGTAGGTTCTCGTAGATACTTTCTCTAATCTCAAAACAAATTCAAAAAGACTTTTCACACTGACACCTTTTCAAAAAGCTTTCGAAAGCAATTTTTCAAACACTCTTGAGGACCGATACAAGAGTCGAACTGAAATTTTCAAAGAGACTTTTTAAAACCCACAGTTGAAAAGCAAACAAACCAATTTTGAAAACACAAATGAGCAAGTATCTAAGAGCCCATGGATAACCATGGATAGAAAGGGTGCTAACACCTTTCCTTTCTATAATCTACCTCCCGAACCGAGAGCAATCTCTTTAAGGAATTTTTCTGTGCTTTTGTCCTTTCCATTTGGAGAAAATAAAAGACGGTGGCGACTCTTGCTTCCGCGACATTTCGCGAACCAGCGTTAAACAGTCAGTTCCAGATCCACCGATCACAACTGTCGAAATGAAGAAACCTCTAGTATTGCAAATCGACAACAAGCCAGCCATAAATCTGACGAAGAATCCAGTTCTGCATGGAAGAATTAAACATATTGAAGCAAGGTTTCACTTCTTGAGAGAAAAAGTAAATCAAGGTGAACTTGAAGTTAGACATTGCTCAAGTGAAGCACAGTTGACCGACATTTTCACCAAAGGATTGAAGATCGACAAATTCCTGAATTTGAGAAAGAAATTAGGAATAGTTTAGATTGACTATTTTTAAGGATGTTCGACAACTTGGATTATGGGGGTGTGTTGAAATGTTAAATTAGATTTAATATTTAAATATAATCCAAGTTGTGTTAGCCCAAACTCAATTAGAGTTGTATATAAATAGTCATAGTGTGTATTATTATTTGTATAATTCAATAATACAAATCCTTGTTTCCTTTATTATTCTCTCTTTCTCTCCTCACTAAAAGTGTCTCACGCACTAACAAATTTTTATTTCACCTCATGCCTAAAAGAAAAACCTTTTGTAATTCTGAAATTGCCCCTCTTATATCATAAATATATTTCCAGTACACATCTTTTTTTAATTGCACGTACGCAAAACTGAAAATACACTTTCGATATGAACTGAAAATATATTTCTAAATCCTAATAACATGGATCATGACACAACAACGTGAGCTCCCCATGACTTATTAATTTGAACAAAAATTTTCCAACCCAAGAGGTTTGCATGGATTACCACTTTCCTTAATAAGTTATAAATCTATTCACCAAATAAAATCTTTTCTACCCTAGGTTGTATTATTTTATTTTCAATCTTATATTTGTGAGACAACACATAATACATCTATTAACCATTTAGTTCTGTGAAGAAATTGAAATCAGAAATACATTTTCGATTTATATTCGAAGTGTATTTCTAAAATCAATTTTACCGTAAAATTTAATGAATCTAAAAAATAAATGAATTATATGCGTGTGGTGCGAATCAGAAATATATTTTTAATTTTAAAAAATATTTTTGAAATTTCGTATAGTACGATAAAAAAAATGAAATGAAATAAGAAATTCTCAAATATTTTAGACAAAATTATTCGATATACATTTCAGAAAACTTAATCATGATGGTAAAAATTAAATAGTAAAATTATTTGATAAGTAAAAAGGATAAAAAGTAGGAATATGGGGGAAAGTTTTCCGTTGTTTATTTGTTTGCAGTGCTCCCAAAATATTAATTTGGCCTGAGACCAAAAATTGATAAAAAAACCCGGCCCAAATAGTAAAAGAAAGAAGCTTTCAACGGCTAGTTTTTCATTCATGTCAGAAAAAAAACTGCTTAATAAACATTCACTTTAACTAACTTCATTTTTTTCTCTTCTCTACAATCAAAAACAATTCATACGATATAACGGTAACTCGTGTTTCATCTTTATCCTTCTTCTCTCCCAATTCACGTTTCTTCATCTTCAGCCACTGAATCACAGCAACACGACAACACTACTTGCTTTGCTTTGTTCTCTTCAACTGTTCGGTCAGTTTTCGGTTTTGATTCTTTCTTCTTAAAACTACTTTCATTGTTTTGTTTTGTTTTGTTTTTTGTTCTTCAATGTCTTCAATTTTTCTCTCAATTTTAATATGTATATTATGTTTAATCATGCTTTAAGAGTTTAATTAATTGTATTTAGTAATTAACAAATGCATTTACATTTAGCCACAATTTTTTTTTTTGTTAAATCGGTTTTTTATACTTAGGGACGTGAAAGTGATAATTTAGAGTTCATAGTTTATGTAGTTTCTATAGATTAGGAGTTTTATAACCAATTGTGTTTTTGTCTATCTCTAGATATCTCTGAAAATATGTGTGTCTGTGTCCAAAACTGGCACACACGACATTTCTGATTATGTTTAATTGATTATGTTTAATTTATTATTTTTTCCGTAGGTTTTATATACTACTAGACATTTTGAGGAATGCTTTGTAAATGAGATGTAACTATTGATAAAATAATAATGCTGGTTTTATTTTTCAAACTGATAGGGGAAAATTCTGTTGAATTTGTTATATGTGAAAAGGAATGGAAAAGGTTTATGAAGAGCTCGAGGAAGCAAAATCTGAAATCGATAAACTCAAGGCAGAATTAAGAAGCAAATCAGATTCAGTTGAGAATTTGAAGAGATCTCTTAATGCGCAGGTTAATCAAACGCAAGAGGCAAAGTTGAAATCTGAGAAGCTTGATCATGAACTTCTTCAAAAGGCGGACGAACTAACCGAGGCGAAGAATTTGAATGAAGGTCTCAAAGGAAAGTTGAAAGAACAAGAGTCTATTATCAAACATCTCAGAGGTGCAAATGATAAAATCCGAGTTGATTGCGATGAAAAGATTAAACAGATGGAAGATGGGAATAGAGGTTTGGTATTGGCCTTAGAGGAAGCGAATGACAAGGTAGAGAATCAAGAACAAATGATTTGTCAATACAGAAAAGAAATCGAAAGCCTGAAAAGTTGTTTATCGGTTTCAAAGAAGTGTTCGGAATCACAGAAAAGTTTGAAACCTTCCAAAGAACTAAGTGATAGAGATGACTTGTTCTACAAGTTGGAAGAGGAAAAAGGAAAGTTGGAAGATCAATTGAAGTGGAAGAAGGAACAGTTTAAACATCTCGAAGATGCGTATGAGAAACTTAAAGGCCAGTTTAGCTCTAGCAAGAAGGAGTGGGAGATTGAAAAATCTATATTACTCGATGAGATTTCTTCGCTTCAAATTAAATTAGACTCTCAGATCAGATTATACGAAGATCTTCAACATCAGTTACAGACTTGCCACCAGGCTCTTGCTCATGTAGAAAGCCAGAAAAAACGACTTGAAGTTGAAGTTTCAGATTTTAGGCTGCAGCTTGAAAATGCCGGTAGCGAGTATCATGATGCTAGACTACAGCTTGATTGCTTAAACTCTGACCGCGACAAAGACATTGCAGATTTGAGATATTCGCTGAAAACACAAGCGGCGTATATTAAAGAAGAAAAGTACCGAACCGATAAGCTAGAGCAAGAAAATAAAGAGTTAAGGATGTCAGTCAAGGAACTACAGGAAGCTCAAATTCAAGAAGCAGGAGCTTCGTATTCGCAGTCAAAGTTGAGGACCAAACTTAAAAATTTAGAACAAACTCATAAAGAGTGTGCCTTGACTCTTAAGGCTAGAGAAGCCGAATGGAACTCTCAGGTAGAACAATTGAATGGAGACTTGAATAGGTGTCAGTCTGAATTGGAAGCTAAAATTGCAGCAGTGGAAGAGCTTCAGATGGAGTTGGAAAATTCTCATTCCGAAGCCGAATGGAATTCTCGGATAGAACATTTAAATGGAGACCTGGATAGGTGTCGGTCTGAATTAGAGGCTAAAATTGCAGCGGTGGAAGAGCTTCGGACGGAGTTAGAAAAATCTCATTCTGTTACCATTGAGACGAGGTTGTTGAATGAGGAGATGTATGTGATGCTGCTAGTGTATAAACAAGCAATTTCTGAGGCTCAATTAAAGTTTGTTAATTATAAAGACGAGATGGATCTGATCAACAAAGAGAAAGAAGGGAAGATCGTTCAACTGATGAAGGAGTTGGAGATGAAAGATGATGCTTTGATCAGTGCTCGAAAAGACTTAAACGAAGAACGCGAGAAAGCAGCATGTTTGATGAAGGAAGTTGAGTCCTATGGATCCAACAAAGAATTGCAGCACTCACAGCAAAATGAACTTGATAAGTACAAGGAAATGCTGGAGGAATCAACTAAGTGTCAACGAATCCTCGAAAAGCAGGTTTTGCAGATGGAATGTGATTCAAAAGGACAACTTAAAGAAACTCATGAAGCTTTGGACATTGCTATCAATGAATTGGATGATAGAATTTGTGAAAGAAATGAAATGGAATTCGAACTGCAAATATGGAAATCGATTGTTGAACGGTTGAAAAAAGACCTTGAAAGAAGTCATTTGACACGTAAAGAACTAGAAACTTCACTTCTTGCACAAGTAGAGATTGGCGAAAGCATCCAGCAAGAGCTTCAGAGAGAGGTGGTTTTGTTGGAACAAGAATCATTTATGAGAGAATTTGAGACCATTGCAATTGCAAAAGGCACAATAGAAAGAAAACTCATAATGGAGAATGAAAAATTAGTTGAAAATGCATCAAAACTGTTATTAGAAAAGGAAAAGTTGTTGGCTTTTGTTCAAGGGTTGAGTGATCGAATTTATGAGTTGTCGAATGGAGACACTCAACTGATGGACATGATGAGAAGCATGGAGAAAACCTTTGAGATTGGTTGTCATGAAATAAACCTGAAAAAGGAATATAGCCTTTGCAAAGAGAATGTGAGAGTAGAACTTTCTCCTACAAGTAGGTTAAAGAAGGTTCAATCCATTTCTGATATTAGACCTCCATTCAAGGAGATGAATAGTTGCTAGAGTAACAGAATGTGCTAAAAGGTTAGTTGCTCTCTTTCAAATGCTTTGTTAATGCCTCAATTAATGTAGCAACACATAGTTTTGTAGTTAATTGTCCTTCTTTGTGTATGATTACAAGATGAGGGAAAGTACATTTTTGAAGCATTGTCTGGTGATGTGTTGCATTGGATGCACAAGTTACTTTTGAGAAGTCACCACATGATGTCTGCTACTCTCATATGCATTTTTTCTAATTCTTTTTTTACTATCTGTAGGAACAGTTTATGATTTGGTTGGACAAGCTCTTGCAGCAACAGTTATTCCACTCTGATTTGGTTGAACAGTCTATGATTTGGTTCTACAGTTTTTTTATTTGGTTGAACAATTCATAATGTGGATTTAGTACTATGAGATGGCTGTTTTACCTTACCTTACCTGTACAAATTTCATACCCAAATATGATGTTAATTTGTATATTCTTATGCTTATTTAGTTTTCATTCCCCTTATCTTAAAGCCATTCTATTGAAAATTTTGAATTAGAAACGCTTTTGGCATGTATTGGCAATGACTATTAATACTTGACTGTAATGTTTTTTTGTTTTGTTCAGTTTATGTGTTTCTAATTTTACACCTTTTTCTTTTATGTTTATAATAATTATCACTAAATTTTTAATTGACATGTGGCTTTCTTCTGTCGTCAAGTGATGCAATAGATTTTAAATTTTAGTCTAAATTGATTATTTTGTATAAATGAAAGATATGTGTTGATGTCCATGAGGTGTCAGCAGCATTGCAATAGAAATGATCAAATAAAAGTTATATTTAAACTCCATTAAGCACATAATAATCTCACGTTATCAATCTTGCATTAACTGTCTTTCACTCATACACGCATGAAATACATCATTAGAGCACAAACTTATTTAATAGAAGATTACATTATTAATTTGGCGACACTTAAAATTATCTTAGCTCATTTTGTTAAGGTCATACTTGACAGCATTATCAATACTAATAGAAAAGTTCACTCATCAAAGTTTAATGAGTTAAATTTGGTAGAGAGGAACTTTCCTCACCCTATCATCACTTTAAATGTGCGCTTTAAAAAAAAATTAATTTTATATTTTGAAAGTGTATTTATGAAAAAAAAATTCTAGAAACATTGCAATTTATAGAGAAATTAACTTGTCATCTCCATATTATACATGTCATCCTTTAGATATAGCACATTTACAAAATTGTTCTTGAAATATATTGGAATTTTTAAATTTTCCGATTCGTATCAGTTAAATTTTCAAAATTTTATCGTGTCATATAAATTTTTGGTACCGGATATTTCAAATTTCCAGTGTTTTTCATCATTATAAAAAAAACGGAAATTTTAAATTTCCGATGTGTGAAAAATACCGGAAATTTCAAATTTCCGGTAATACTGAGACTTTTTTTAAACTATTACTTGAATAAAATAACCGTGAAGCGACCCGCATATGCTGATTCTCATGCTTTTGTGTAAGAAGCTGAAGTTGCCGATTCAAGATCGTGAGATATAAAATTTCATCTGCAGACATACCGGAATTTTCAAGTAAAACTGAAATTTCCGGTACACCGGAAATTCAATATTCCTGATAAAGGTTTTCTACTGGAAATTTTCCAAACCGGTACGTGTAATGACTTTTATAAAATTCACGAAAATTTTAAAATTTTTTGGTAAGTCGCAATCAGAAATTTCGAAATTTCTGGTAAATGACAACCGAAAATTTATAGCATGTACAGAATTTTCGGAATGCGACAAAACTCGGTACCAAAAATTTGCTAAGAGTACCGGAAATTTCAATTTTTATCTCCTTTGACCAATAATAATTTTTTTTGATAAAAGTAAAAAATTTAGAGTAAATAGTGGAAGAGGCATTTTGAGAATAATGAAATTTGGGGATGTCATGTATAATATGAAGGGTGACATGTTAATTTCTCCGATTTATAAGGAGTTTAGGAGGATTTAACTTGCCACTCCTAAATTGTACCTAACACCCTCTCATTTCTAGTGCTTTTACTCTTATACACTCGTGTAAATAATAGAATTAAAAAAAAAATACTGCCAGTTATTTGAAATTTTGAGAGTATACCGAAAATTTTCAAAAAGTTACTATTTTTACAGCAACAGTTTTGATTACACAAAATTAAAAAAATTCAAAATTTTAGTTAGAAGACCCAATTCACCAAAAATTTCAAAATTTTCGGTATTTGTCAAAAAAATCCAGAAATATAGAGTTTTCGGTATAGTATCGGTATTTTTTTCACTACTACAAATAATACATTTTATAACGAAGCTTTCGCCTCAGCGAAAAAAAAAAAGAGATATTATGCCAAGACGTGTCATGTTTTATTTTTTTATAAAAATAAAAACAACAAATTCCCTCAGTTTGGAAAAACAAATCTGGACATGCTTCGAGTCTCAGCTTTTACAGTTTATGTTTTTATTTGTTTATAAGTGTAAAGTAAATTATCTAACCCTTCGGTTTTTCGATATAACTGAGAAATCCAATAAACAGATTTCACTATAAAAGCACTCGTTAAACAGATTTTACATTAATCCTTACTTATATGAAACCGCCCAAACTCTTGTGCATCATTCTTTGGGATAGATTGCAAGACAGAAAAATCTTCAATGTTCTTCTATGCTTGGACAAAACATATTTTATGTCCTTCTAATTTATCTCACATAATGGTGTTGATGTTGTTGTTGTTGTTGCATTTTTTCTCATTTGATAATTTTTTTTAAATAAGGTAAATGGTATAAAAAAGAAAGGTGATACACAAAAAGAGAGGAGGACTAGGTCAAAACCCTCTCAAAAGGAGACAAACTTAAAGAAACTCAATCCAAGCTTATTCTTTATAAAATCACTTCTAATAGCTAGGGGGATTGAGTCAAAAAGAGTTACATGATGGGAAGTGCGGCCCAAAGAAGAAGAAAAATACGCACAAGAGTTTCCTTCCCGGTAAATGTGAGTAATGACAAAAGACATATTAAAAATTATTTGTTTACAGTGTCTCCATTTGTTCTTGAGCATCCAAGGAACCAAAGCATTCTTTGAGAAAGCTTTGACAACAATGAGATAATCACTTTCAATCCAAAGCTTGAGCCATGCTCTTTCTCTAGCAATCTCCATGGCTCTAAGAACTGCAGAGAATTTCACATGTAAGGATTTGGGACTGGGAGTTTACTCCGTGAAACCTAAGATAAAGTTACCTTACGAATCTCTAAAAATACCACATGATCCAGTAGCCATAAAATCAAAGGAGCCATTGTAATTACATTTCAGCCAATTGCTAACAGTGGGTTCCAAATAACTTCTTTAACCAAGGGCGCTTTAAATGGATGAAAATCCACATTGAATGCTTTGAGAAGTCTGAAATTCAACATAGAAGAAAAAGACTTTAGCATGGAGCTATTACTTGACATTCTAATTTGAGCAACAATGCTTGAGATGAAAGAATGAAAAGGAAAAATCTTGTGATGCTTTGCCAAATTACGCGACTGCCAGATAGAGCAGTGGGAGTTAACAAGAAAATCAATCTTGTTTCAAGTTACGCAAAAACGGAGCTCAACCTTTGAAAATTTAAACAAAGAAGGGAAATTAACTTATCATAAGATGGATATCAACGAAAATATTCATTAATAAGAACAAAGATTTTTTGTAAACAATTTATTTTAATATTATGTGTAAACAATGTAAGTTCAAAAAAAAGTTGTTCACCTCGGTTGTTTGTAATAACAGAGGTGATAGTTAAAATAAGAAGATAATGTACCTCAGTTTTCTTATAAAACCGAGGGGTAGATTAATCAAATTTTACAATAAATTTTCTCGTTAAACAAATTTTACTCTAATACTAACTTATATGTAGCCGCACCAAATAGAGGAAATATTTATCGTTGTCCACTTCATGAGTCGCTACTACAAAAAATCTTTTTGGGTGGATTTTCCATGAATTTTTTTTATCTAGAAACGCTTAAAACTTGGGAAACAAATCTCTCTGGGATGGCTTGTAAGTGCAAAAAATAAAATTTCACATGTGAAAATAAATAACTTATCAGAAGTTGGATAAGTATGGAGTGTTTTTTGGATATGCAACAAAATTTAGATTCCGCAAAATATTTATCGTAAACAATGTATTTTAATATTCTGTGTGAATAATAATAGAAAAAAAAGCTTATTCACCTCGGTGATTTTTTTAAACCGAGGTATATGTTAAGTGTTTTTTAGGCTTTTCACCGGTCTTAATCAAATCTTTGTCGTCCATTTAATGATTATCAGTCCTCAAGACTTTGTCATTAGTGATCCGCGTGAAACCTAAGAGACATCCATTATAAAAGCGCTAAATATTAACATTTCTATATTACATGAAAAATGAAGCGCTTGAAACCTAAAGACGCTTGGAAAAGTTCTCTATGATGGATTGCAAGAGCATAAAATCATCTGGGTTTAAGGTTTGTTTTCTTAAACATTTATTTGAACTGAAAATCATATATTTGAATATTTATTTTAATGATCTTACCATTTTTTTCATCAGAAACAAATGCATGCAAGATCTTTAGAGAATAATCTTGCATCCAACATTTAATCTTCCCCAAGATTCAATAATTCGAAGATCTAAAGTCTAAATCTTCAAGGAATCTAATTTTTATATAAATCTCTAGGGAATTTTATTTTTATTTTAATATTATGTGGAAACAATGTAGTATTCTGGGTAAACAATGTAAAAATTACTATTTTTAAAATAAATAATCTTACCCCTCGATTTTCTAGATAAACCGAATAAAATATATGTTTATTTTGAAAATAATAAAAGTGTTGTTGTTGGGTTTCGAACCCATGTATGTGCATGTAACTTTACCCCTTGGTTTTTAAATTACTAAGGTGATGTTTCACCCTAAAATTTGCCTTATGGATTTTATTCACAATTGACTTATGTTTCACATTCATCTGCATCACAATCATTCATATCATTAGTTCTTAAAAG